GTTCGAGACCAGCCTGGGGTACAAAGTGACCTCAAGGCCAGCCTGAACTGCATAGTGAGACCTTGTCTCAAAAAGACCCCCCCCCAAAAAAGGAAAGAAAATACATTATAAAATTAATATGCAGATGGAAAAATTATGAGAAGGAATGTATACAAGTGACAAATACCTAGAACAAAAGGAAGATTTTATCAAAAGTAATCATCACAAATATGAATATACAATATAAGCATATATTTTATGCTTACACAGGAAATGAAAAAAAGCACATAAAATGGATGCACAAAAGACAGAAAATGTTAAAAGACGTAGATTTTGCTATACATCTATGAAACTCAACAAATTAGAAAAAGCCTAACGTTGGTTGGCTAAGAGAAATAGGAACTATTGCCCCCTGGTGGTGGTCATGTGGATGGTGTACAGTAAGATTTAAACGGGTACAGATTCTGTGCAAGAGCAAATACGCTGCCCAGCCCTGCACATCTATGGCAGTTTCTCAAATCTGTTTCTGGGGCAGCAAATGAACGTGCCTTGTGGCATTTACACCAGTGACTGAACTAGACAAGCCTGCTTTCCCATAACTGTGGAAAGCCAATTAAGATGTTCTGGAGATACACAATGGAAACGCTGTCAGGAGCTACATGTACAGTAATGCAAATAAATCCGGAAGATACTATTGAGTGTATCAAGTAAAATACAGGATGAACTAACATACTCCCACTAGCGCACACTGAATGTGTATGTCCATGGGATCAATGTGTAGCTCAGTGGGAGAGCACATGTACAGCACTCATCAGTCTCTAGGGGTTATAGTCAGCATAAATAATGTACATGACGCTACGGCGCATACTCCAGAAGTGATAAGCAGGGCCACAAATTTGGAAAGAAGGCACACCCACAGCAGCGTTGGCAAGCAGAGAACGAGTGATATTTGGGTCCAGTATTTCATTATTTTAAGGGCCGTCCTGTGTGTCACATGACATTTATCAACACCCTTGACCTCTGTCCATGCTTTAAATCTTGCTCATGCTCTACGTCATGATTGTAACAAAAGGAGCTGAGATACAGCCACACGTTTTCTGAGGTGCACCATCACCCATGTCTGAAACCATCAATTCAGCAGGTGCAGTATGGACACATAAGCTTCTGGGTGAGAAGGTACCCAGCATGGGCAAAGGCCACAAGCGCTGCCAAAATTCTCTGTGCCCCAACCCACTATGAATGCCTGGTACTACCCAAAGCACTCTGTCCTTGCACACTCTTTCTTTGTCCCTGCCACCTGCACTACTTGTCAGATGTCACTAATGTGGAAACCCAGTACCAGCTACGGCTTGATGGTCTATTTCCACAGGGAAATACAGAGGACAGATTAAGGGCTGCCTTGAACTGAAGTTTTGTGCTTTATCCATAAGCCATCTGCATGGGTTTCTTCAGGATGCCGATGGAAGTTCTGTCCCCAGAGTTTGGGGAACCCAGGAGACACTTAGGAGGACTTCAGGGAGTACAGTTTCTTGTCACTTATGGAAAGCATAACAAAGGCTCATGGTCATCTCTTTTCCCACAGAGATGCAAATCAGTAGAAGCAGGAAAGGGACTAGGAAGCAACAGTGTTGGACAGACGTGCTTTCAGCCCACTAACGTGATGGGAGAGGAGTGAGGTTACAGGAATGAACAACCTAGTATAGAAAGGCAGATGTTGGCCCAAGGTTAAAGCAGCTAGCAGGGTTCTCAGAATCAGCGAAAGTTATAACTAGAAATGAAGTGTTTTCTCTTTAGCTCTGCATGTACTTGGTGTTATGTTCAAACAGCACAGTCCTGTGTCTTCATTGAAAAATTAGATCCTATCCCCTCGAAAGGGTAATGTAAGCCAGAGTATGACCAGAGTGGGGGACCTCTTTATAATACCAAAACAACAACAAAAAAGTCAGACACACAAGCCAAAACCCACCCCAGAGTAGTCCTCCCTTTTCAAAACAGTACTCATACTATCTCCTGGTTGGGTTGCTCCAGGGAAGCTGATTAACACAGCATTCGAAACAGGTAACAATCTGATGAATGTCATGTTCTACAAAGGACTTTAGAAGGGTTGAGGGGATGTGTCTACAGATGCTACTTGAGTTGGAAAGGGAAAATATCATGATCAACTCAAAGAAAGTTGAAAATAAAATGTACTAAAAATGCACAGGCTGGGCATGGTGATGGACACCTGTAATCCCAGCACTCAGAAGGCTGAGTCAGAAGGATTGCTGTGAGTTCAAGGCCAGCCTCAGCAAGAAAATGAGTTCAAGGCCAGCCTGAACTGCAGAGCAAAATCCTGTCTCAGAAACACAAACACAAAAAATGCACAGAACATACAAAATCAATCAAATATCTGTGTCAAGCCCTAAACCTCTCAACACACTTGCCTTGATTTGTGTTTGGGAAAATACACGTTTCACAATACAAAATTCCTAATAACAAACTAAAATCTCATGAACTTTATAAAATATATAGTACACTGTAAATCACTGGGCTGTTCACCCTCGGTGTCCAGTTCCTGACAACCGTGACTCATGACTGCTGTCCACCATCATGTGAAAGTACTGCACCATATAACACTAGTGAGAAAAGTAAATAAGTTACCAAACTGAAAGATTTCCACTAAGTAATAGTTCTTTTTTTTCCTTCAGAAAAAAGACTTAAGATTTAACTCTGGGCTCATGTGTATTAGACAAGTTAGAGTAAGGTACACCTCAAAATATTTCCTATTGAAAGAGGATTTTGTTCAGTTGTCCAGGCTGGCCTTGATGTTGCAATACTCCTGTCTCAGTCTCCCAAGTGGCAGGGATTAAAAGTGTGCACCACCATGCCTCACTGATGTTTGTTTACCCAACCACTAAAATCTTGGTTCGTCACAGAGAACCTCAATCTGAACTGGCAAAATGCCACAAGCCTGTCATCTCAACAATCAAGGACGAAGAAACAGTAGCAAAAGTTCTCCCCAGCCTGGGCAACTTAATAAGACCAAGTCTCAAAAACAATTTTTAAATGGATTAGGGGAGGTGTGGCTTGGAGCAAAACTTGTGAGTTCAGTACCTGTACAATAAAAGACATCAACATGCCTTGAAATCTTTTATGTCCATGAGAAAACTCTTCCTATCCTACCTCAATGATGATGCCTACCTTATTTTTGAACCTACAGGGCCAGTTTTCTAATTTCCAGTTTGGCCTCACAAATAATTACGTGAACTGATCAGTAATAACAGAAGACATATTTATTCTATCTGTTACTAATTTTCCCTCCTCTCTTCCGGTCTGTGACCTCTGACCCACGCTCAGGCCAAGGCAGCACCCAATCCTTCCATTACAGTCACACTAAGAACAATCTGACCATCACAGTTGTAGCTGATGGTTTCACTGCCCTCCAACAAACCCTGCTCTCTCGTTTCCTTTTTATTCTCCTTTGTTCCTCCCTATTCAAAAAATCCTTTCATTCCTATCCATTCCTGTGCCTGTAGACCTTAGCTATGGGGATTTATCCCTACTTCAGTGCTTATTTTACACAAAGGCCATTTCAATCAACATTTCAAATCTAAAACAATGTGTAGAAACAGTCTCAGGACTACAGCATTCATTTCAGAGATAAGAGTCCCCTTTCACTTTCCACTACTACCAATATCACTTGTCTATGTAGATGCCCTAATTCAATGCGTTTCTCAGTCTGGCTTTAACAGGCAGCCCTTTAGGGAGTTGTCTTTAGCAAGAACCCTCTCCTCCCTTGGTAATATATTACCTGCATTTTTCTCAGCATTCTAAACTCTCTGGAAGGCCTCATTTCAATAGTCTAACTGTAAAGAATATTTTACTTAGTTACCTTATGAATAAGGCACCCACCTAGCTAGGGAAAATGGCCTGAGATAGAGTGGGGAAATAAGTCATATTGATAGAATAGTGAACGACAGGAGAAAACCAAGAATCAACTTCCTCAGGCAACAGGGAATGCAGCCTGTCCCTACCACAGTTTCCAGGAATTCAAAGTGTAAATTAAGCAGATTTGCTCGAAAGTCCCAGTTTTCTATAAAACTTACAGGGTAAGAAAAAAGGTTTAAGAGCTGGAGTTCCAAATGCTCATTTTAAATACGTGGAGTCACCTGCCACAGGTGCCCTTAAACAATGAAGCAATTACTGTGCTCTGATTACTATAATTAGCTCTGAGTTGAGCAGCTACAGGGTCACCCCCTCAGGATGCTGCCAGGAAATCCGGAGCTACTCTTATTTCCAATAAAAGCTCTCCTAACATCCTCCCTTTTGCCCATGACTTCATCCCACAATGTTGGAGACCACCAGCTCTGTTCTTTATCACAGTGAGTAGCGGCCTGACATCATAATTAAGGCGATAATTTTGGGGGTTGCTGAGTATGGAACGCTGGATTTCACTGCATGCTTGGCAAAAACTCCGCCCGAGTCCCATCACCTGCAGTATTAAACCCTTCTTTGGATTCCCCTAGTCCATATCAACACCTATTACGACTTTGGCAACATGGGGACATATTGGAAATTCACTAATTCACTCTGAATATAAAAAGGTAGAGGTCTGAAACGAGTGAGAGGTATGAGATCCCGCATCGCAGGCATTTACAAATGTCAGATCCTCCAGGTCTGCCGCTAAAAGGGATGAGTCCAGGGACCTCGCATATCACAGCTGCAGCCCAGCTCCAACCTATACCCGGGTCAGGGTCTCCCAACCTAACTCCCCCTCTGCTGTCCCCAGACCGGTGTAGCTGATGCTGCGCCTGGGGTCACCCAAGACAGCATTATGGACTGGGAGGGTCACGGTGGGAACAGGATGCAGGGAACCTAGAACTAACCCTGCCCCAGCAGACACACAAAAAGGACAAAAGCACCAAAGACCAGAACCTCAGGGTCTGGAGCTAAGCAGGGAGGTTGTAGTTCCCCGTAGCTGGTTCTGGCCACTTCCTCACCCCCGTTTCATCCCATCCCCGTCTTCTGTCCCACAACATCACCATGGCGTGGCTTCAGGGTCTCCCAGAGTCCTTCCCGTGTAGGATGCAGCCAGGAGAAGTCACAGAGGGTGGCCTGGCAAGGTGGACGGCTCTCAGCAGTGCGCTCTCCAAGCACACTTTCTCGCCATGACACCGGAAGAGCCCGCCTACTTTGGCCCACGTGATTGGACAGTTCCTACACCCCGCCTCTTGATCGCTGATTGGCTCCTGCTCCATGGCTCTCGCTTTGAGGCAACAGTGAGAAGAGAAACCCCTGCGTGCATGGACAGAGTTCAAATGGTAGATTGCAACCCAGGAATTTCTGGACCAGGCTCTTTCCCACAATGTCAACCTCACCTCGCCTAAAAATAATTGTATTTAAGCAGTGGCGTCATCAGACGGTGCAGGCAGCAAACACGTGTAAGACTTGCAAGGTAGGAGGGGACCGCGCCTTTGTTGTGACCACAGCAAAGCTTTGAGTGCTGTGGGTTCTTTCTCTCCACGGTTTGTTGACACAAGCATATCACGCTGTGGTGGACTTTTCAAGCCTTCCGTGCCTTCACCAAACAGCTCACCCTGAGCAAAATCAAGGAGATAACTCCAAAGCCGAGTGACTTGCTTTCCGGATGCAACCTTTAGTCCTTAGTCGGCAAGACTGGGTCAATCCAGAGTGTCGCTAGTGGCTAATGAGCATTGTTTCTGGGCTTATTTCTTCGCTTTAGAGTCTCTTCAATTTTATGATCGGTCTTGTATCTTATGTCCTAATTAAAGTCATTTATTATTTCTGGAAGCTCTCTTGGCAGATCCTATGGGATTGTTTACTTCATCAGGTTGGTGATAGGCTCAGTTTTATTTCTTCCTAACCAGTTTGGTTTTCTTATTGCACTTATTGCCAAAATCGCCCATGCAATATTGAGTGGTAAGAGCAGATTTCCGTGCTTTCTTTTCTTAGGGAGAAAACATTCAATGTTTTACCATTAACTGTGATATTGGTTGTGAGTTTTTTGTAGATGCCCTCCACCAGGTTATAGATGTTTTCCTTTATTTTGTACTCGATGAGTTTTCATCATGCATGTTATCTTAATTTTCCCAATGCTATTTCTGCATCCCTGAAGACGATTATCTGTGTCTCCTTTAGATTTGTTGAAATGCCATGTAGTGCGCTGTGCCTGTAGGGCTGGTACTGCAGGTGGTAAAAAGAATTTACCAATAATCAAAGAATATAGAAAAAGAAGAACTGATATACCGCAAGAGAGCAACAGGTGAGTCCAAGAGAGGACCGCTCCATGAGGGTGAATTGCTGAGATCTTTATATTTGATGTTAATGTGATGAGGGCATCTTTCAGCATCATCTACCTCAGGAGCACTTGCATCAGGTCACAGTGGTCCTATTGTCCATCCGGCTCAGTTTTAAGGAGATCAGGTATTGTCTGAAGACCGATATAACGTTTTTGTTTGACAAGGTCCTGTGCCCTTGGAGTTGCTAGAAATAGTCTTGGGTAAAACTAACAAATATGTAAACATTGACAAGTTAGTGGTCAAGAGGATCATATATATATATATATATATATATATATATATATAAATAAACATTATTTGGAACAGGGGAAATGTGGTATTAACATGTGTTAAGCAATTACATCACCTACGAGTGTATGCATAGTTTTTGTGTGTAGCTTACAAGACGGAAACTTGATGCTCTACTACTAGCTCTAAAGAAACACTGGTATAAAAGATAAAAAAAAAAAAAAAAGAAACACTGGTAAAATAACTATGATTCTCCACAACATGATAAACTCCATCAATTGGTTTTCAAATGCTGATCTACTTTGTATTTGCAGGATAATCCCCACTTGATCATTGTGTATTCTTTTTCATATTGCTAGAGTCAGTTTGTTAAAATTTGAAGAGTTTTTGTGTCTATTTTCTGGGATATTGCTCTATAGTTTTGCATCTGTTTTTCTGGGATATTGCTCTATAATTATCTGGGAGCTTTTTAAAAAATCAGGATCTTACTGTGTGGTTCATACTGGATTTGAGCTCACTGTAGCTCTGGGTGTTCTCAAACTCATAGTAATCCTCCTACCTCAGCCTTTCATGTGCTGAGATTATAGGCCTGTGCCACCACAACCAGATATTTGTCTTCATCTTTTAAAACTGAGTAATAGCCGGGTGTAGTAGTGCAGGCCTGTAATCCCAGCACTCGGGGAGGCTGAGGCAGGAGGATCATTGCGAGTTCAAGACCAGCCTCGGCTACAAAGTGAGCTCAAGGCCAGCCTGAACTACATAGCAAGACTCTATCTCAAAAAGACAAAAAAAAAAAAAAACCACCAAAAATAAAAAAATAAATTTGTTTTGTGGCTCACATTATGCATCTGTCTTTGAAAATATTCTAAGCATTCAATTGGAGAAGAGGAAGAGAATGAGTGAAGGAAGTGAAAAAGGGTGAAATTAATAAAGTATGCACTAATAAAAAGAAAATATTGGGGCTGGGGATTTAGCTCAGTGGCAAAAGCACCTGCCTGGCAAGCACAAGGTCGTGAGTTTGGTTCCTGGAGAAAAACCAAAAAAGAAAATATTGTTCCATGTGCACCTGAAACCAATAAATATTGTCCTGTTGTTATTGTGGAGTGACTTGTAAAATTTTCCTTTTTCTACCAAATTAAAAGAGGATCCAAGTGCAGTGGTACATGCCTGTAATCCCAGCACTTGGGAAGCTGATGCAGGGAGATTGCCTTGAGTTCAAGGCCAGCCTGGGCTATATAGTGAATTCAGTGCCAGCCTGAACTACATAATAAGACTCTGCCTCAAAAAACAAACAAACAAACAAACCAAGAGGAATATGTAAATGTCTTACTATAATTGTATATTTTTCCATGTTATTTCTATCAGGCTTTCTTGCTTGCTTGCTTGCTCTCTCTCTTTCTTTCTTAGCTCTTTTGAGATCCATAAATGTTTAGGGACATTATGAGGTCATGATAAATTGACACCTTTCTCATGAAATGACTTGTATTCCTAGGAAGATAGTCTTTGCTCAGAAATCTGCTTTGTGTTTTATTAAAAGCACCACTCTAGCTGCCCTGATTAGTATTAGTATTGTGTCAGGCACGTGGTCTTTGAGGGGCCAGGGGTCTTCGAGGATCTCCTGCCGCACCCCCCCATCTCTGGGTCCCTCACCTCCTCTCCAGTGAACAGTAGGGAAGTGAGGTGAGGTTGGCTCAGAGCCAAAGGCCCCAAGCAGGTCCCCCCCAACCACTCTGCAGAAAGTGCGCATCAGAAGTGAAAGTAATGTGAGGCAAACGTTTATTTATAAGATTGTAAATGCAAGGAACAGCTGCCAAACAACAGGAAGCAAATTTTGCAAGGTTAGAAGACCATTACAGTCCCCCTTATAGGGGTAAGCTGGTTTCTAAAAACTGTTTCACTGATTGGTGTAATCTAAGCCAATCAGGGTCTTAGCCTTTGTTTCATATTCTATGGCTTGAGGAAAGGTCAAGGACTAAGGGTCACAAAGTGAGTACATGTAATAGTTTCACAAGAGCTAGCTTCCTGAAGTACATGGTGTATAATAAACTTGTAAATACACAACCATCAGCTAGCCAGGTCATGTCCTATATCATACCTTGGTCCCCTGTGACTGTCTCCACATTACCATCTATTCTTTTAGCTAAATTTTTGATTTCATAACCAAGTGGATTCTCTGTCTACTTCAGTATAGAAATAATCATGGAAATATAATAGTATTAAGCAAAGACTACAATAAAACTTCTTCATGGCAAAAACAGTTATGGCAAATCTAGTATGCCTCATTTAACAACCAAAGTGTGGTGCTGTGACTAGGTCATCAATTGAATTGGTTGCTTGTTGGGAGCGGCTGGAGCTGGTTATTGGTCAAGCAGTCAAGCTACCTCAGTATTGGAAAAGGCATCCTGCCCGACAATCACAGTCGTTAGTCGCCAGACAACGTTACCCGCCCCCCCATGATACTAACTTTGCAGGTATATAAAATGTAAACACCCCTATTGTTGAGGTCAGTTCTTGTGCTCATTAGGCAAGAGGTAACTCCACCTGATTCCAACTCTTGTCTTGTGTCTTTATTTTTCTCATACCCACCTCCATTTCTTTCCAGGGTACAATGAGAGACCAGTGAGGTTCGCTACATCTGGCGCCTGAACTGGACACCGGGTGAGAGATAGTAAGTGGGCAGTGGGTACGTTTCCCAAGAGCGTGCGACAGAAGGGGGGAAGCGCATTTGTGAAAGCTAGTATTCAGTGATAAGTCGCAAGGCAAACCCCCACGACAGGGGATTTAATCTCTTTTATTAAGGAGTTAATAAAAACTCCTTCCTCTTCACCTGTTCCCCTCCACTTCCCCTCGACAAAAGCCAACCCGGCCCTCATCCACCCTGGCAGAACAGACGTTCAGCTCTTTGAAACAACCCACCCCTAGGGGCTGGGGATTTAGCTCAGGGGCAAAAAGCGCCTGCCTGGCAAGCTCAAGGTCATGAGTTCAGTTCCCAGTACTGGAGAAAAACCAAAAAAAAAAAAAAAGAAGCAACCCACCCCACTCGGGTTGTTCTGGCCCATGGACACCCCCTCCCGGAAAATGTTCTGGCCCACAGGCACCCTCCCCGAAAAACAGCTTAAAAAACCCGTGCTTTGCTCAGCTCAGGGCTGTCCTAGTCCGCTGGGCAGCCCGCCATATCACTCCCACCCAATAAAGATTTCTCTCGTGTCAAAAGGTCTGGTCTGGTTCTGTGTGGGTCTTGGCCCCATCATATCATTCAGCACGGGAGTGCATGGTACTGGCACATCAGGTGTAAAGCATGGGGATATATGTCCTCTAGGGCTAGAAGATATACAGGCTTCTAAGAAGCCAAAAAGGAAAGGGATTTTGAAGTACAAGTAGAAGCTGAAGACTCCCAGCAGTATATGTCTATAGAAGTGTTTGTTGCATGTTTGACTCCTACATTTAATTTTCTGGATGCTGGTTTGGAGGGTTTTGTAACCATAAGGGATTTGGCTCAGAACATTATGTTAAAATTAAGTCTGGAGCCTAAGCGGGACATGGAGGGAGGAGAAACGGCCAGTAGAGCCTGAGCCCTCTAGCCTGGTCCAGTCCAAGAAGGAAGGTGGGGGACAAAAGGGACTTTTCCCCACCAGAGAGGTGTTTCCCTGTGAACTCTGTCTCAACACTCCGTGGAACTAACTGAGACACAGGGGGCATTCCAGCCTTTCAGCTCAGAGAAACTTCGCTGCGTCACAGGTTGGAACACCTGCCTCTCAGAGAACAGAGCCATTTTCTCTGTCTCCCTTGCAATTAGCATTAAAAGAAGCCAGGTGGGGGCTGGGGATATAGCTCAATGGCATAAGTGCCTGCCTGGCAAGCACAAGGTTCTGAGTTCGATCACCGGTACCGCAAAAAAAAAAAAATTGAAAGTACAATTACCTTGGGCTGAGGATTTAGTTCAGCAGCACAGTGCCTGCCTGGCAAGTGCAAGGTCTTGAGTTTGATTCCTGGTACCGGAAAAAAAAAAAAAAAAAAAGAAGCCAGATGGGCAGGGGAGCCCGTGGAGGGTTTTCAACATATCTACCGTTTTTGAAGTTGAAGTCCCTGAAAATCCAGGACAAGTTATACGTTGGTATTGATACAGAAAAATAAAAACTGCCAACCTGAATGATATCTGGGATGAGTTCGTGTTCTCTAAAATCAAAGAATGAATTTTAGGAACAATGGAGGTTAAGAGCAGAATATATTTATTGAGGGAAAGAAAGCTTCTGTCCAAGAGAGGGATAGAAGGGGGACCTGAGTGGGTTAAACCCCACCCCCACACACACTCTTTTCTGGGGACTTTTATAGAGCAAAACCACGAGATGAGGTGGGTCCAAGGTAGGGGAAAAATGGACAAAACTATGGTCAGCCCATAAGAATTGTTTAGGTAAAATTGATTAAATTGGCATCAAACGGGGAAGCGAGTCACGTAGCAAGCGGGCATGAATACAGAACAGGGGCTTTTCCTGTAGGGGGTTGGGTCAAGGACTCTTCAAGGTGATGGCTACCTATTTAGAATATCATCCCTGATGTCCATCCCTAGGGAGGTATGTGGGTGCATTTGTTTAGTCCTTTGTCTTGAGGTCTGGCCCATGGCAAATACATATCTTTCATGTTGGCTCCTTTGAGGGCCTGGCCCTGTCTGACTGCCTATAATATTTCTATCTAACTCAGCCGCCTATAACATTATGACGCTATATCTTTCAATACCTTAAAAGACTTTAAAACAAATGGTTGCTACTTACGGTCCTACTGCTCCCTTTACCTTGAGTTTATTGGACATTCTAGGACAACAGATTATGGCTCCAAATGATTGGAAAGGAATAGCTAAAGCACGTTTAAGCCCAGGAGACTATCTGATGTGGAAAGGAAACTTCCTTGAGTATTGCACTGACTGGGCCTCTCAGAATGCTACTCACAACATAGCCATGACAAAAGATATGCTAATTGGGGAAGGTGCCTTTGCCAGCACAAACAATCAACTGAACTTTGACTTGCCGGCATATGAACAAACCAAGCTGGCTGCCATGAGGGCTGGGAGGGAACTTCCTTCTAAGGGAGAGGCAGCCCTCAGTTTGGCTTCTATTCATCAGGGGCCTGAGGAACCTTTTCAAAATTTCCTCGCATGCTTATTGCAGGCTAGTGAGAGGATTACAAATAACACAGAAGCTAGTAAACTAGTAGTTCAGCAGCAAATAATATTTGAAAATGCAAATAAAGGGTGTCAAGAGGCTTTAAGAGCCCACACAAGGCGGGCCAGATTGCTGGATATGATTCAGATCTGTGCAGATATTGCCCCTCATATGTACAGGGGGCTACTTTAGCAGCAGCTGTTGCTCAGGTTATTCATCCACAGCCTGGAGGAAAGGGTAAAAACAAGGCCATTTGTTTTCGTTGTGGAAATAAGGGGCACCTTGTC